AAAACTTTACATGCTCCACCATACTTTGCATTTTTAACAATTATAATCTTACAACGCGTGATCTTTTCGCTCGGCTTAAAGGGAACAATGGAGACAAGATAGAAGCCGATCCATTATTTCAAAATGATATTTTGATTTCATCCGATATCACGAACAATAGTATTCAAGATCAATCGGCATCCGATGCTGTGGATCAATGTATGCCTTTTACAAGAGAATCCAATGTTTCGTAAGGAATTCATTTTGACTATGATTTTAATAAAAATATTTATGCTTGTAAGAACATGCTTTGATCGTTTAAACACAAAATGGCTCAGATACATATATTGCAATAGTTAGATAAACTAAAAACTGGTATCTATTTTTAGCGTCACTTCGTTAACTGTGTGTAATATATATTATCTTCACAGATTTGTTGAAATGGCAACTAAATTAAGGATAACTCCTGTAACCCCAGTTTTAAGACCGGAACAATTTCCATCTTTGTCCTATTATCTCGCGCGATTACTGGACCCAAAAAGCTTAGAGGATCCTGTAATACGTTCAGTTCCATCGGGAAAATGTTACTTTTGTGACAACCGATCTTGCTCCTGTCTAGCATCATCGATCTCTGGTTACTTATTTATAACTTCTCTCGCTAACATTTAACGCTAATTATCATCTGTGTTCGAAACATTTCAAATAATTCGACTGAAATAACGCTTCTCTTCATTTCTGATTCGGTATTAATACTACTATATTTACTTGTTCGTGAAACAATCTCAACGTTTTAATTATTTTCAAACGAAATCTTTTGTTTCAAAGATTCATTACCAATACAACTTTCCAAAACTCGAGTGAATTATCAGAAAAATTATATCGTTATTGTAAATTAACTTGCATTGTTACTGATCTTTCCACACAGATGTATCTGAGAGCGAAGAAAAGATTGATACGACAAAAGAAATGGAGGATTCTATTAAATCTGAACGAGAATATGAAGAGCGTTGGGCATACAATTGTCTGACGATGCATATGTTACGTTTGCGAGAAATTTATGCGAATTTCGCCAAATTATTTTCAATCTCGCCACCAGACTGTAATCTTGTTATGTGCAGAATGTGTTTATGGCAATTCTGGCGAGATTGTAAAGTTCATGAAAGAGGTTTAAGCTTGATAGAAATCGATAATTATATTGGTAAATCGTGTATTAATTATTGCAAGATAATTAAGCATTTAAATGTTGTTGCGTGTTACTCGAATGAGATTAATGAAATATAAAATAATAACGATAAATAATAATATTTTGTTGTAAATATATTAATCGTTCCAGCAAAAAATCAGTCCACTATTGTGAAAGATCCCCATGATCCGTTCGAAAAAATCGAGATATGGCAATTTCTGCATTCACTGCTAGAAGTTTCGTGGCATTTGTACGGTAAATCTGATAATTCAGAGAACCACCGTGAAATAAATGGAAAACTAGCCGGTAGTTTGCATAAATTTTTGAAAAACGACGTCTATCCGAACGTTGAAAATCACATAGGTATCTAAGAAATATGAATTTAATTAAATAGTAATTAGTACTAAATTACTAACTCAGTATTTTCATTATTTTCATTTTAAAAGTATTAATTTTTCATTCCCTGTGACATTGAACTGCAGACAACGTCCAAACAGCATTGCAATATATCTGCAAATAATATAAAAATGATTTTCCTGCAAACAGATATACCAAACCACGATACGGAAAATAATTCAGTTATAAATTTTATTACACTCCGTGGTCTATATATAATTGTTGCCGATTAAATAAAACTAATTTTTGTTCAATGAACACACTAACACGCGACCATAAAATAAGCAAAAGTTTCATTGACGAATGATTTTCAAGAGTTCGTGATTCTTTGCAGGAAGGGAAGATTTTAGTGCTTTTATTATATTTCTAATATATATGCTTAATATATATATATTAATAACCAATAGCAGCGTTATTATTGATTGTAAAATAGAGATGACTTTTAGTTTTTTAAATACAAAACAGCATATATATTTTTTATCGCATGATAAAAACTAAAAGTCATCTCTATTTTACAATCAATAATAACGCTGCTATTGGTTATTAATCAAATCTTTCCTATTAGGCAGTTTGTGTCGTGAGTACACAAATTTGTTACCTATGAGTTCCGTATTCAAATTGAACCAAAGCATCGGATATCCATGTTCGGCAAAAAATCTTCTTCGAGCTACGTCTATATCAGAAGGTAAAAACTACTATTTCTTAATACGATAATAACACAAAGTTTGAATTTATATATAGGTATAAGATTGTTCGATCATGGAAAAATTGGTATATGTTTTACATTTACGGTCTAATAGAACCAGACCACTTATCTAACAATAAGTTTTCAAAAAAATTGAAGTGAAAATCGATCAAATATGCATTCTATAAAACAGGACTCATTTATTCATTACTTATTTGTACCATTGAAAACGATGATAATATCAGAAGAATTTCTAAATTTGTTTATGTTGATAAATAAATAAATGAGTATCTATATAATTCCTACTTCTTGCGATCGATGCTCCAAAATTTTGCATAAAATGCAGTCTAATTATAACG